CGCAACGAAAGCTCTATGACAGTCAGCTGTTACGTGAATGGCGTGGAGAGATCAAATCGATATGTAAACGGCGAAACAATATCAGGAGCCAAACCTAATCATTTCTGAAGCAAACTCTGGACTTAGTCCAGGTCTGTAAAGATACGGATTCTTCCATCTCCCCACCACTGACACATAATGCATTGTTATGCATCAACGAGGACATTCTACGTCCGTCTAGGCTAGCTTTGGTTGTGGTACTTAGAGAAACGCCGTCTTATATTTATCCCTAATACCTTTAAACGCATATTACCTTACACTAGCATAAGAAAAGCTTGACTAACACAGGTTTAGTATTCATACTGACGCTAGTTTTTGTGATGAAACAAATATATCAGTCATGATTGCTGTAAAAATGGCACCGAATTTGGTTTTAGGGAGGAGAGGTATTGCACAAGAACCAAAAGGCGAATCTCCAGAGATTGTGGGAATTTGTTGAAGTTTCCCGGTGAGAAACGGGAAAGACTGTTAACCTTCTAGAGTTCCGTTCGGGGGACATTAGGTTACAACTATAAATCTCGAAGTTTATCCAAACAAATTACAGAAGGTTCACTTATCTTATTGTAATGCGTTCTTTCCTGTTTTGCGCATTTCATTGGTCATAAAGTTCTTTAATTGTTTATACGAATAATGTTGGACTTTATAGTTTATTGTTCTAGCAACACAGGAAGTCTGAGAGTAAAATGTATTAAGTAGGATGTGAGGTTTTCACGGCGGTGAGTACGAAGATGACTGTCTTATTGGTTGTAGAGCCGTTGTTACATCTACAGGTCTATGAGGACAGTCACGAACGTCCAAAAACACACGCACTCCTTTCAAATAACGGAAAAGAACATGTGAAAACTCTGTTCCCATCTCCCATAAAACACCCCGCGTCCCCGGTTACAAAGCTCAGTATGTCTGTTTAAAGAAACGATCCCAGGACCGAAAGAAACATATAAATAGCGCTTGCGGGCTAAAGTCCGAGTTATTGAGCGTTACATCATTTGGTGTTCATGGTTACCTTTGCTCCGTCAGAGAATTTTGGGTCTGACTTGTAAAAGAAAGTCGACGTCGTAACTTATTGTGAAAGCAATGACGATTTAATTTCTCAAAGATCATAATTTTCCATTCATGGGCTACTTAAAATGTGACGACGGCAAAGTGTTAAAGTTAGTTTTCCCTGTGAGTTTGTTTTCTGGTTTACGTGGTTCGCAACTTTGCGTCTGTAGTCTTTCAGTTCAGGAAACCGATGGATTTGCCTGCGGACTCCTACAAATTACCAATCGCTTTTCCATCCCGGTATGAAGGTAGTGTTGTCGGTTTAATATAGTGACTCTCAATTTTTTGGTGCCCGTGGTACATTTAACATGATCTTTTCTTTTTCCAGCACACTAGAATTATAATATAGAACTAAAATTTATAAAAAGAATACAACTATTTTTAGTAATGTCATTTATTGTATAGAAATATAAATTTATCGCTAACAGAAAGACGATGTGGTTTGGCTAATTACTAAAATATAGGCTAATCAGTTGCGGGTAATAATGTGATAAAACATTTACTAGATTTTTTAATTTGCATACCTAATTTTATGTAATTATTTTTCTAATCAGAGCCTCGCTCGCTTGGCTAAAGCTTGAACCGGTTGAAAAACACAGCTTTAATATTTTAGAACCCTAATTTGAACACGCGTGTGGATCGGTCACGTTTCCCTGTACATAGATTTATTTATTTTCCCCCAAACATACAAATGCAAGGCAAGTTTTCGGGTTCCTTTAGCGACGACTGTCAAGATGACTTGTCTTCTGAGAAGTTGTGCCGTGTAGTCTGGTATAAATTTACCGATGTTTCAGATGTACTTACTGCGTCCTTTATCAGGAGTATCTCCCTCATAATTGAGACAATAAATATCTCTGCAACATCGGCGCAACATCCCAGAAGACAGTCATCTTCGTACTAGGATTAGAAACACTGAGATCCCTACTCTTGACAATACCGGTGTGAAGTAATCTGTCATACCATTCCTCAACTGGTTTCTTGCTGGTACAAGTTGTACCAAGATAAGATACGAACTCAGAATTGTCGAAGGTAAAACCTATGTCTTATTGTATCAGAACCATATCGATGTTCTGTTCGAAGAGAACGCAACCCGCCTCTCTAGTAAGAGACTGTGCGTTATGTTGTTTTCTGTTGAACTCCTCAAAGAATCGAATCTTCGTAGCGAGAACATCGATTAATTCTGAACAGAAAGTCACTGATGCTGCTGCATTATTCATGCGTGCGTTATCGTCTTATGCTGCCTGTTTAAAAAGTTAAATGTGGGACCAGATCACGAAACGAGCGTAATTGCATCCTTCCTTACATTTAATTGGTTTCATTTGCAAGTCCACGAGGCACTCAGCACATTTGTATACATTGTGTTGTTAATAAGTAAGCGGATCTTAATCGGCGGGGTCAGAGAAACTCCGTGGTGGATTTTGTATTTAGGTTACTTTATAAGACCCCCTCTAGCCTCCGCTATAATATGAGAATACAGTCCTGTAACCTCCGACCAGCAATCAAGTCACTGTTCTGCAAACAGCAAATGTACTAGGGGGCTCTTCACACCCTCACAACACAACCAATGGACCAATGATCATTTTAGGGATGTCTATTGTGTGATGGGGTTTTACAGACCCCAAAGATTTTTTCACTCAAGCATGTCGCTGCATTATAAACATCAACATTGCTGCGGGATTTCTCAGATTAAACTGGTCAGTGTTCCCAATAGAGACGTAAGTGTCTCACAGGCACTGAGGATTTTGTGCGCTCCTCACAAAAGTGAAATGGGAATACAGCGATTTGCGTGTCCTGTATTAAGCGACTGGAAAGTATTTTAATTTACAGATCGCTACTCATCGTTTTGGTGATGGACCAATGGTTAATGATAGTGGTATTTGCCAGACCCCACCACGTCACTGCAGTTTGCCTCACTTTCGAAACTGTAAACCAGCAGTTCAGTTCATTCCTCAGAATTATGTGAAGAACACAAACATAGCAATGAAAATTAGGCAAGAATAGGTAATTAAAAGCACAATTGAGAGATGGGATTTAGAATTAAATGCTAAAATACAGAAGATTTCACACACAAAAAGAAGTGAAAGTCAGTAACCTAGCACAAGACAATAATAGTTGTAAGAGAACGAGAATGATGGAAGATTTCATTTTCTATAATAAGTTAAAAGCGTCATGTTTTTAAAGAGTATTTTTAAAAAGAATTTTAGCACGTGAAACAATCGATGACGATATCTTAACGAGACGTTTCTACTAATTATTAGGCCCTTATAGAAAACGTTTCATTGCCAACATTTGACTGTGTGAACAAAGAATCGAAACTTTGCAGTTTGCAAAATATATAAAATAATATTTTTATTTTCTGTCTATACACAAACTTAAAATAATGTTGTTTAAAATTATCTAAAATTATAACATTCTCATTAGACACTGCATCATGTTACATTTTTTTTTTAAACATGATGCAGTGTCTAATGAGAATGTTATAATTTCAGATAATTTTAAACAACATTATTTTAAGTTTGTGTATAGACGGAAAATAAAAATATTGTATCAATAAAACACAAACATGACGCAATTAAGATATAAATTATATAAAATAAGTTTATAAACATAGTGAATACAGGCTTACATCGGCGTACCAACACCACGTTATGTTACTGGTAGTAGATTACGAACATGAAGAATA